CTGTTGACACCGGGCTCTCGCTGGGCAGGGGGGGTAATTAAATCAGAACTGTTTGCATGAGCAGTCAGAGCAAATGAGTCACGGCGCGCACCTCTCATGCGTGTTTGCACGCAAATGCGGATGCAGGTGAGCTCGCTTTCAAGTGCTCTCAGACGTTCTGAGTGAGGCAGCCTGACTGTTTTGACACTGTTTCATCAGGCACAAACCCTGAAGGTTAATTAATTCACTGGTTAGGTTTAGACGCGTCTGAGAGAATCTAAATATTTATGGGCTTTGTTTTCATTCAAGCTGAACCACAGGACTGTGCAGTGCTTATGTATTCTAGTGCGGTGCTTATGTATTTCCGAGATTACACAGCTGTTATATTACATTATTCAACATCAGCATCATTTTAAGCATTTTGAATTATACATAGGCCTAGATCTTAGTACTTACCAAATGATCGGATTTATGGACGATAAAATGGGTGAAAAATACCATAAATTTACACTTTAGGAGGGAGCAAAGACACATCTCTCTTGGGCAACCAGCATTGTAGCAGCAATGCTAAGGAGCGCGCGTGCGGCCGCACACTTCTTCCACATGCTCGGGCAAACCACTATAGAGTTGATGTCGCTATAGAGTTAGAACCGGTCAATGTAGTTATCAGGTTCCATAGAAAGAGAATGATGTGCGCCAAAAGAGTAGGGGCCCTATCATACACCTGGTGCAATGTGGCGCCAGGCGCGATGCAAGTGTTTCTTGTTAGTTTCAGGCCGACGCAGTTGTCATTTTCATGTCCTGAGACACATTTGTGCGCTCATAGGCGTGCTGGTCTGAAAACAAGGTGTGTTCAGGCGTATTGCTGGCGCGTTGCTATTTTGAGGCAACTGAAATAGACTGCGCCATTGATCAACTAAAACCTGGTCTAAAGTCAATAGCGCAGTAGTTTTTTTGTTATTTAAAGAGTGCGCTAGTGTAGGGGGGTCCACAGCGCGCGTACACTCTGCTTATTACACACACAGGGACACACAGCAGCACACAGACATGCCAAATATTAAAAATTAAAGGATTGCAATGTAAAAGATTATTATTGTGTAGGATACATAAATATAAAAATGCCTACATGTCATAATGGAAAGTCATTGCATGTATCAGAATTAGGCTACCTATTTGCTCGTGCAAGAGCAGCTCTGTTTCCTCTCTGGAGATGCGTTCTGTCTTTGCTCTTGCAAATTCCGCCGTGTAAATAGCAAATCCGCCATGGCACGAGCGCAACTGCCTCTTAAAGGGAATGGGAGATGAGACTCTGATTGGTTTATTGCACGTTATGCCCAAAACACACCCATTACTCATTAAGAGAATAGGGACAACCCTTTTAGACCATGCGCAGACCGGTTTTCCCGTTGTTAAACTAGCAAAAGTGGATTTGGACATGCCCTAAGTGCACCTGCGCCATGCGCTTTAGACCATGCGCTTAGATCGTTAAAATAGGGCCCTCGCTGTAGAAACCGAATAGCCAACTTCAATGGTTGTGGACGAAATAGCCCAACACGAGAACCAACGCAAATGTGACATGTGAAATAAAACGTCCTCATGTATTAAAGAATAGTGGCTTGATTAAGTGGTGTAAATAGTGGATGATGGGCAAAGAACGGTAAGAAAACTCAGAGAAATTTACAGTCACACACAGGTATTGTGCAAACTGTACTTAATAAGAATTCACGTTAACTTACAGATCTCAGTTTAAATGCTTCAGTTTTTTTTCTATTCTATCAGTTTAAATGCTTTGTTTTGATATTATATTAGCCTATATTATATTATGTTAGGCCTACCTATATTATAACCCTAATATATAACTGACCTTGTTTTTTAATGGAGTCTCTTATGCTCATCAAAGCTGTATTTATATATATGTATATATATAGATAGTAATATTGTGAAATATTATTGTAATTTCTAATATTGGTTTCCCTTTTTTAATATAGGCCTTTAAAATATAATTTATTCATGTAAAGCAAAGCTGAATTTTCATTATCATTACTCCAGTTTTCAGTGTCACATGATCCTTCAGAAATCATTCTAATATGCTGATTTATTATCAGTGTTGAAACTGTTGTGCTGCTTAATATTTTTTTGGAACCTGGGATACTTTTTTCTTTGATTAATACAAAGTTAAAAAGAACAGTATTTATTCAAAATAGAAATATTTTGTAACAATATAAGTCTTTACTATCACTTTTTATCCATTTAACACATCCTTGCTGAATAAAAGTATTAATTAAAAAAAAGAAGAAAAACCCCAAACTTTTGAATAGTAGTGTATATTGTAACACAAAATTTATATTTTGAATAAACACTGTTCTTTTTAACTTTTTATTTATTTATATTTTAAAGTATATTAAAACATTTTTTTTTTACATTTTAAATTGCAATAATATTTCACAATATTATTTTATTATATTTTATTTATCCAAGTATTTTTTATCAAATAGATACAGCCTTGATGATCATAAGAAACTTATTTAAAGGGGTCCTATTATGCTTTTTCCCTTTAGTTAGTCTGTAATGTTGCTGTTTGAGTATAAAAAAGATCAGCAAAGTCCACTTCAAAAAAAGATATTTTATTTAACAGAAATCACTTTTCAAAAACTACAACGAACGACTCGTTTGGACTACAACGCATGTTTTCCGGGATTTGTGATGTCACAAATACTGACGAATGGGACGAGACCTGCACTAGAGAAGGCAACGAGTGTTATCACTATGTCGGAGACATGCTAGCTTTCCCAAGGCAGAAGAACTTAGAGTGGTTACAATCATTTAAATCGCGCTCAAAGTGATTTGATTTTGACGCAATATTTACACTGAAGCTCGCAGGCTGCTATGGTAAGGGGCAGGACATTTCCCGACCAGGCGCCGAGTGCTGCCAATCACAACACACACTGGCCCAGCTAACCAATCACACCACATTTTGTTTTGTTTTTCGAACAACCTATGAGAGCCTGTTCCAGTACACCCCCAAAACAAAATCAAGACTTTGTAAAAGAGCATTATAGGACCCCTTTAAAAAACTTTACTGTTCCCAAATTTTTGAACGGCAGTGTATTATATATACTGTAAAAAATGTTTTCTCAGGTAACCTAAAATGTACATCATTTAGTTACATCAAGGGTCAAATCAAATATAAATAGCACGTTAAAGTTAAAAGTTACACACTTTTTTTGCATGTGCGCTGTACAGGTCTGGTATAAAGAATATTTTTGTTCAGGTGGACGAAATATCCGCCCAATAGAGAAAAGTTTTGCTCAGCAAGAAAAACAATTAGAGGGAACATTGCACACCACTATAATTTAAAATGCAAAAACAACTTAAATGCTGTTTTATTTACGCCAAGCCAGTAGATGGTGATGTCACTTTGGTAAAGAGACGATAACAGCATCGTTTTGCACTTTGAAACTTTGAAAAGTTGGCATTTTCAAACCCCCAAAATGCCATTGTCCTGTAAATGAAAGGCCATAAACGCATACATTTTTTTTAGTTGGTTACTCTAGTCCCACCTTACAGCTAAATTAACCAACTGCATTTTTGATGGATGAATGAAAGTCCCACCTTTAAAGAGTCAATCGCATTTTGAATAAAAGTCACATTTGAAAAGTCAAAGGTGCAGCCACATTTACCATTATTCTGCTAATTTTTTACAGACAAAATCCAGTCATTTCTATAGACCAATTCGGTGTTTGTCAACAGTGATGACATTTTTTGTGGGCGGAGACTATCTGGTGGCAGAAAATGACTGTTTTCAAGTAGCAGTCTATGGAAGCCATGGAATTAAAGAATAATAAAGGTAAATTTTGAGTTTATATTTCAAAAGTTTGACTTTATTTTTGCAATTCCGAGATAAAATAGGTAAATGTTATGTAAAATGTTAATAGTAATATGTTTAAATAGTATTTCATGCTGTAACTAATACAATATGTCCCCTATGAGCTGCATATGTGAATATTTAGACCATCAAAGTTATGCTTTAAAAGTAGAGTAATCGTAGCAGTTTTCATCCATAGTCTTTCAGTTTAAACGTCTGCATTTAGTTTCAAATGGCATCTTTGACGACAGTATTCTATAATAATTATTTGTATTCCGATCCTGATATACAAAGGCACAACATTTTTTCCCCCCTCTTATTCCATGGATTTTACTCATTTCCCTCCACTTGTTACCAGTGTTTTTTTGGAACCACTATGCGCATGCAGGTGCAAGTGACGCAACTGTGACGTCTATTCCGAATTGGTCTATAGTAATCCACATGGGAATTTCGCGTGAGGGCGGAATATTTTCCTGCACAGATTTCACATCTAGTTCAAATTCGTCAAATTCGTTTGGTTTGAAATGGGTTTACATCGCTACACTTTTGACAATGGATCCAGATTTCCTGCGCAAATTACACTAATGTGACTGCACTTTTATAGATTAAAAGAGTCAGTGGTCTTTTTCATTTGTGCATCATCTGTTTGTCTACTCTTGAATATGCATTATCTTGGCCAGACTAAAATAAATATTGTTGAGATAAAGAAGCTCAATTTATTAAACATTTTATTTAATATACGTACCTGTCTTTTTCTTATTTAAAGATGGCAGAAAGATTTATCAAGATGGCAGCCAAATGGATCGACAGTTTAAATCTTGGTTTATGCATTGTGTTTTAGATATTTTCAACAGTTTTAGCCTTATTTTAACTATTTTAAAATATACATAGATCTTAAAGTGAAATGAATTGTGGTAACCAACAATGGATCCATAGCAGATTACATAATAATGGATCCCTACTTAGCTTCCATTACACTCTTTGCTCTTTTTCAAGGCACTTAAATACAAAAGATTTAATGGACTGAACTTCAACCAAATGATGGCAGTTTTCTTCATCTTGGCAAGGTTTTTCAGCTCTAACCTGCTGTGCTGCTCTCTGGCAGGGCTTTGGTCTGCTGGGTCTATTTCCTGTGCTGATGAGGTGTATGAAGGAGATGACATTAGCAAAACTCAGCATTTTGTCCAGAATAGCCTCTTACGTCCTACTCGCCCTCTCAAGCAACACATGGATGTCTTCCTCGGTAAGCTCCCATCACTCAAATTACTCAAATGATTTATATAAATGATACATTGACATAATAAAGCTCCTTGCAAAGTTATTGTGCATGAAAAATGATTGAGAAAACCATTATGTCAAGTTAATGATGCAGTAGGGTCAATGATGTGATTTATTTTGTCCAGACCTATTAATTTATTAAAAAATGCATTAAATATGCAATTCATACATATAGTGACTTGAATACACATATTCTATGATAAGCTATTGTTGACATAAAGTAAAAAAAAAGCTATTTATTTGTTTGCTTTTGCTTATTTTTTTGTTTATGAAAGTGATATAATTCAATACTGTAATATAATTATTATTAAATGGTATTATATATTACACTACCACCCAGAAGGATTAAAAAAATAAATTAATACTTTTTTTGAACAAGGCTACAATAAAATAATCAAAATCCAAGGCACTCGAAAATATTGTGAAAAAGTCAAAAGCCTTTATTCACATGGCTTTAACATTAAAAACAACACACATGTGCACCGACGCGTTGCCTTGGATTGATGAGTTTTTTGATGACATAAAAGAATCCTGCATCCAAAGAACACCAGGTCATGAAGTTCACACCCCTGCAGCATTTTGTTTTTGCATATTTTTGGATGTACGACAGTAAATACGTTTATAATATTAATTAATTTTAAAGCTGTAGTCCGTAACTTTGTTTTGGTTAAAAATGATCCGAAATCAATATTTGAGCAAGTAGATAAACCAGCCAGTGTTCAAAACTATAGGCTTAGTTTAGCTCGATTCACAACGGTTATCTTATAATAATGTTTTGTAATTTGAGCGGTTATGGGTAGGTTTTCGCGGGAAATTCGAGCATGTTGCTGCGTCATTACTTCACGTCTGTAAACATAAAGAAGTTGTCCCTGCTAGGATCCTGCAGGTGGCGGATCGTTTATAGCCTTTTCTCACAGCAGCCAGAATAATTAAATGTATAATTTTGATGGCGGATTGTAATTCAGAAAGGATTATGTGTTTATGAAACACATGTGAATGAAATTAAATTATATTCCAGTTATAAATGTGCTTCTGATTACAGATAGCCTGGGATTACACAAGATTTGTATTTTTAAGACAACCAGTTCGAAGGGAGCATAATTTGCTTTTTGAGTTAAAATAATTTCTTAATATGAAATTTGAGTGGTATGAAAATTAGAGATTAGACAAAAATTGAAATCTACTCGCTAATACACACTATACTCATAGTCACGCAATACTGATGTTGTTAACATTAACAATTTGAGAATAAAGTATAACAATAATAATAATTTGCACGGTTTGATGTGATATGAGCTAATTTAGATTAAATCACCATTGGTAGAGTGATTTATTGTAATGCTTTTTTCCTCAGTTGGTCAGAACAAACGTGGTAGACTTGTTACTTACTTGTTCAGATGACAATATCCAGGGAAAATTCTTTTTTTGGGTCATATATCTCACGTAGACGTAGGCTAGAACCTGTGATTCTGAAGTACAGTGAATATCCACACACCGGTGCAGTGACTAACTGCCACACATACTCCTCAAAACATTAGATTCATCTGCGCTGGAGTCTTGCCGCCGCACAACACATGCAAGGAAGATAATTCCGCAAACAGCTGCAATTGCAGGTTTTCAAACAGAGATGGCGACAAAGAGGAAAAACTTATGGACTGCAGCTGTAATTTAAAATAATTTAATTTAAAATAATTGTAATTTCAAAAAATATTATTCTGTACTTTCAATTTATCAAAGAATCCTGGAAAAGCATGATGGTGTCCATAACAATATTAAACATCATTACTGTTTTGAACCTTGATAATAGTAAGAAATATTTCTTGAACATTAAGTAAGCATATTAGAATGATATCTAAAGTATCATGTGAGACTGAAGTAATGGCTTTTAAAACATGTTTAAATAGAAAATATTTATTTTAAATTGTAAAACTATTTCACAACATTACCATTTTACTATATTTTTTATTCTTGATGTGTAAGAGACATTCAAAAAAAATAAAAATAAAAAAAATAAATAGTTTTAAAGGTTACATATACACGCACGCACGCACACACACACACATATATATTCCACTATATCAAAGTCTTTTAAAATACTTGTATTTATTTAAATTTTTAATATTTTACTTTTAGTTTTAGATTTGACATTGACTTGGTAGTACTGTTGTGGTAGTGATATGTGTCATGTTGTCATGTTGGAAGGTTTTACACTTTAGGATGGTTAGAAACAGCACAACTGACCCTATTTCAAATCTGTCAGCGAGCATATCAAAGCACATCTCTCTTCCCTAAAACAATGTAGATTTCTTTTGTCAGCATGTGACATGCACAAAGCAAATGTTTCCCACTCGAGGCCGACGGTCTTCACTTGAGCTGCCTGTTTTAACAAGACAGTCAAATGGCTAAATGTTTTGGAAAAACAGTCTACCTGACCAGACTTTTTATGGTTCACATTCATTCCTCACTGCTGTCTGAACTCCTTGCCTTGTTCTAGGGGGGCTCCACCTCCAAAGAGGTGTTCTCAGAGTGGTAAGTAATGATAACATTGTGCCGGCCTTCATAGACGGCCACTCTCAGGGAGAGACAGCCGGATCGGCGTTAATACTGTTAATTAAATAAATGGTTGTGGAAATTGTTATTCTAATCGATGTGGCAGACGAAAGCCTTTTAAAGGGAGATGAGTGGCGGCTCAGATGAATAGTCAGTGCCAGGGAGGGTGGAATTTGCATGCTGGTCTTTTCTGTTGGCTGCGATAATGAGGGGCACAGTGGCGGCACACAGGAGTCATAACCTCCATTCTGGAAGTACAGTGCATGTGTGGTGTGTGCAGAACCGACACACACACACAAAACACACAGACACGTGTGCACACACATACACCCCACCGCATACGCATCAACGCAAATACAGAAAATCTTTTGTTCTCTTGAGGATCTGCTTTTCTTGATCACGCATGATCAGGCAGCTGCGAAGAGCGAGTGACTTTACATTCTGAGCCATTAGGAGAAGCCCATGCTTTGTAATCACAATTACCTCGCAGAATTTCATACATATAGATTAAGCTCATGAATTATTGAATATTCCATTTAGATTTACTTACATTTTAGAACTGGTTAGCATTCCTCTGGTCTCACCAGAGAGATTAGTTACTTGTGTCTTTATGTTTAATTTTAAGCAATGTTTCTTAATATAGTGTAGGCCTATGCAGGACTATAGCAGTTGTTTACTGTTAATCTTAGCACTTTTATGAACTGGTTTGTGTGGTTTGTCCTGTGGTTTTGTAGTTGCTGTAGTCGGCGCTCCATCTGGTATCAGCCAAGCAGTGATTCGTTCTTTGTCTTCTGCCATCATAGGAGCTGATGAACAAGGTACTGTGTTATGAATTCACAATTAATTGAGAGAAAGAGAGAGACACCACAAAAATAAAGTACTAAGATTATGAACGTCCATGGTTTTGGACACAGTAGGTAAAACAGAATGGTAATATCATGGTTTTTCGATAGTCCTTTTGGAAATCAATCAATGGTGTTTGTAGTAAGACCACAGTAACCACATATTTTCTATTGTCTTACTGTAATATACTGTACTACCATACTTTAACCTTTCACTACCATATTCAACTATGATATTTACAATTAAACTTTTGTAATAAAAATTAGAATAAATCTGCCAATAAACTTGGTTACTGCAATTTTATAATAGTAACAACATGGTTAATTTCCATAAGAGAGACGTGTCTTGTAAAATCAAACTTGGTAAAATCATGTTTTTTTTTTTTTTTTGTAGAAATACTGTGGTAAAATTGTGGCTTTCAGATATATACCATGGACATGGTAATGCAATTTTTGGACATGGCAGGAAGGTAAAAATCATAATTTTTGGATAGATATAATAGTAAAATGAATGGTAAAATCATGGTTTTTGGATGGTCCTTTTGGGAAATTATAATAAAACCAAAACAACCACAAATTTACAATTGTTTTACTACACTGACCATATTTTAAGCATGATATTTGTAGTAAAACTATAGTAAGAAAATATATAACAATCTGAAAAACAAACAAACAAACAAATGAACAAACAAACATGGTTTTAGGATAGGATACCATGGTAATAGCACATATTCATGGACATATAGCATAGTAAAATATTTATTTATTTTTATTTGTTTGTTTGTTTATAATACATAGTTTTAATACAATAACTACATTTAAACGGTGACATTTGTATTAAAACTATGGTAACTAAAATCATAATAAAGCTCCCAAAAAGTTAAAAACAAAGCAGTTTTATGATATTAGGGTCATTTTCATAAGGGAGATGCCATGGTAATACTAATTTGTTTGTTATGGTATCATGGTTAAATATGTACATATGCATGCATGTATGTATTTGCAGAATATATACCATAGTAATACTATGTTTTTGTACATGTACCATAATAAGTAAAAACCTTTAGTTGCTTGAAACTGTATGTTATTTAAAAAAAAGCCTATACAAATAAATTCAGTTGTCTTAGAGGGAATACCATGAATGTACATTAGTAATCACTCAGTACCATCGTATTATCATCTGAAACCATCCCTGTGTTTGTTTTTATTAGAGTTTATTGCATTGAGTAATGTGTACATCACAGCATCCCTTTCTTCTCCCTGTCTGTTCTACAAGCCCACAAATGAGCTGAAATATCCTGGGGAAACTGCTTTGACCTTCATATGACAAATAGATTTGAGTCATGCCTTTCTTTTAAATCTTTACTTTCTTTGACATTTGTTTCTGCCTGATAACGTAGCTAAAAGCCCAAGATTTAATCTCTATTGTCCTTTCACAAATCCTTAATGAGAGGCGTCGCAGTATGCATAATTAACCGGGGAACTGAACACCGGCTTTCTCAAGAAAATCATAGAATTATCAAACTCGGCTAAGTGGAAAACAATACAGGAGGAACAGAGCAACAACAAACAACATCTTGAATAGACTTTCATATTCATATATCCACCCCGGCTTGTTTCCACTACTCACAGCAGCTGAAAGCCAAACCGAAAAGAAATATCCATTTAGTCTGTGGACACAAACATCTTTCTTCCCATTACTTTTATTTATTTTCCTGTTGATGCAAGAGTGATACAACTGTGAAAGGACACAGTGATGACAGGCCATTCCCATCCATAAATGCACTGTTTTCACCGTGCAAGCCGCCTCTCTCCACTTTGACAGCCGTTTCCTCGGCTTGTGTCTCAGATTGCATGTGTCACTGACTCTATTGCAGTTTCTAGTCATTCCAGGGCACTCACACAACTTCCAGCTCCGGTGAAGATCAATACGTATTGCATGCTCCAGGCACTTACGGGCTGCCCTGATGCTCCGCGACTCATTCTGCTCCAGTTAGTCAGAGCAGTCACGAAGTTCTGCGTAGCTCACCGAGATATTTTATCAAAGTGGATCAAACCATTATTCATGCCAACGATCTACTGCACAGACCTCAGTTTCTACGGCTATTATTCTTTCATTCAGATAAAATCATAGGTTATGAATTTCAGGTGCATCCATGGCATATTAATGAAACGGCGCTAGCTTTATCCACAATGTTTCAGATATCTTTATTAGAAACACATGTTTTTAATTTAGGGGGTAAATGTTGGGCTTCACTATGTATTCATTTATTGGTCCCACTTTATATTAAGTGGCCTTAACTACTATGTACTTAAATAAAAAAATTAATACATTGTACATTGTGTTCATATTGTATTGCTAAACACTTTTGCTGCTATTGAGGTGGGATACGGGTAAGGTTAGGGTTTGGTGGTATGGGTACGTTTAAAACCTTCTGGTGCTCTTCGGTCACTTTTGACCAAAAAAATGATGTTTTGAATTTTTTTAAATCACAGCTTCATTGGAATGGTACGAAACTTGGTGACTTTTATGGCATTTAGAATGTGAACACACAAAAAAATTGAGGGCATGATTCGAGCAGACTAAGTGGTCGTAAAAAAAAAGTCACACTTGTGGTCTTCGGTCAAAAATGACCGACCATAGGAAATTAATGGGAAATCGACAAAAACACAAAAATTCTCAGAATGTACAATCTACATATCTGACACAATGCAGAAAAAAGTACACAGCAATGACAGGGTGAAACTCTAAAACATCAAGAGTGCAAAACCAACACATCCACTCACACACACACGCACACACACACACACTTATACACACACACACCTATGAACTGGTGTGACTGTAACACAGCAAATATGTAAAATAAAAGCAATAATTCAACTACAATGCAGTAACAAAATGGACAGCAAGGAAGGGGTTGCACTCTAAAACATCAAGAGTGCAAAACAGACACACTCACTCAAACACACACTCACTTACACACAATCACAGACACACACACAAACATACACAATTATACACACTCAAATTAATTGGTATGGCTATTAACATATAGCCAAAACGAGTCAGAAAACTGAAATAAGAGGTTGAAATCAGATCAAACCCAGAAGGATTAAGCTCTGATTAAACATTTCTGTTCATTTTTGTTACATTTTTATAGAATTTTAATGTTTTGTGTAACAAAATACTTTCTCTGTGTTCAGGTATGACTGTAGTAATAATAATTCAAAAACTGACGCTTCAAATCAACATTTCAAGCCAAAAAAAACTAAACCTTTACACTAAGTTGTCTTTGAGAATGTCTAAATATATATCCAAACCCACAACCCACAAAGTTTAAAAACAATTAGAGAATTTATAGGCCTTTTATATAGAGCTATATAGGAATCTATGGGCTAAACCATGGAATTGCAGATGTTTTTCTTATTTTACTCCCCCCAGATGGCACTAATCTGGCTTCAAAAATGGGATTTTAAAGGCATTGACTCTATTTTAACATAAAATACTGCATTAATTGAAAAGTAATATAAAAAGATATTTTTTAAAATTTTGTATTATTTTCAGTGGGCAGAAATTCATCATAATTATTGCATAAATATTAATTAGTGCCATGAAATTATCTCAAAATACAAAATCAAAAAGAAAAAATATTATTGAACAAAAATACATGACATTGATTTTACTGGGGCGAAAAATGTTACGTTTCAGGTGTCCGGTCACTTTTGACCATGAAGATATGACTCCCAAATGAGGAGCACCAGGGTGGGTTTAGGTGTAAGGGATGGTCAACAGTGTAATTATGAATGTAATTACTGAAATTAATTACAGATGTAATTACATGCAGGTATTTTTTTAAGTACATTGTAAAAACATGTAAGTACATAATAAGTGCATTGTACTACCAAGTGATTAATTTTAAATGTAAGTACATAGTAGTTGAGACAACTTAATATAAAGTGGGACCCATTTATTTGTTCGTTTGTTCATTTCAAATAAAATAAACGTATTAAAATAAATACATTAAAAATACCTCCAACAAAACATTTTCCCTCCCCTCAGGCTTTAAAGGCTTTTTATTATTTTCCATGGACCGTTTACATAATTCTCAGGTTCTCAGAAGCAGAAGTCAGCAAAGATGGGTAACTTTAATGGTAATGACAGAAAAGTACAACAAATATAGCAAAAGATAAAAAAGAAAACATAATTAGCACAATAGTGTTATGACTTTACAAAAGGGGAAAAAATATTGAAAAATTGATTATTTTGGTCAGAAGAGAGAAAGACACTCACGCAGTGACTAGTTTCTTTAATTTAACGCCATTGTAAAAACACAAGGAGTTATAAATGTACATTGTTATTATCATTATTATTATTATTTATTATTTTTGATAATACAAGATTTATGATGTTAATATCTGTGGAAATGTGTTATCACAGGCCATTGTCCAATGGGACCTCCGATATAGCCAAAATGTAGCTTTTTTTCAAGCACAGTTCATTTGGATAAAACTGGCTGTCAAATGTATACATTTTAAATATGGACAAAATTTAACAGAAGTTTGTTGTAGTGTTTGTTTTAGTGTGAAGAATACTTTATTTGTCCCATAAACTAAATTAATGAGTACAAAGGACTACAGCACAAACTGTTTTTTTTTTTTTTGCTGAACAAAATTTAAGATAAAAATAAATAAATAATAATAATTAATAGTGATATAAATATTTATGACAGCTTTTTTGTGTGTGTTGTGATTTCCCATTCATGTTATAAAAGTTATAAATAGTCAATTTTCTTTATATGTTGAACCAGCAAGCTAATTGTAACATTTTACTGTTACAAAAAATAAACAAGTAAATCAATAAAATAAAAATAATAATCTCTTAATCACATAAAAATGTAATTCACTAAAATGTATTTCTCACTAGCAAACTAAGCCTGGTTCAGCTGAATTTCACTGGATGTCTGTTTCACGTCTTTATTGACTTGAATGTTGATGTCCTCAGGTGCCATGTTCTCCTTCGCGGCCTCAGTGGAAGCGACCTGCATCCTTATTGCTGCTACGATCTTTAACGGGCTGTACCCCCTGACCCTGCCTACCTTCCCCGGGATGCCCTTCATCATCATGGCAGTCTTCACGCTCATCGTGCTCAGTCTCTTGCAGTAAGCCTAATTTCTAAAGTTTTATAAAATAAGATGTGATTATTACTTTAAGAGACTTTAATGTTTTGTTCTACAACATAAGCTACACACAGTCATACTTTAATGTAAATGTATAATCTGTGTGCTGTAAATTTTAGTAGTGTTGGCGAAAAAAAAAAGGGAAAGATGAAATAAACCTAACTGCACAGTCATGCTGCATCCAACTTGCTAACTATTCCTGAAGTAAACGAGTCGTGACTGTTGCAATATCTAGCATGAAATCATTGTACACCACACAACAGTTTCAGAATATTATCTGAGGTGTGACTGTGTGTAATTTATGTTGCAGAACAAAATAGGACACTTCAGGTAATGTTATCCACAGACTGCTGCTCTAAATGCCCATTAGAAATTCCTGGGAGAACCCATGGCTCAAAAATGCTAATTCCCTTCTGGGTATTAGTGCTACAAACTGAACACCTCTATTCAATGTATTTGTATAGAGCTTTTCACAATACTTATTGTTCAAAAAGCAGCTTTACAAAGAATAGTGCCTTAAACCCCCAGTGAGCAAGCCAACTCGACATTGGCAAGCTAAAACTCCCTAAGAGATTTAAATAGATGAGGAACGTTTGGGAGGAACCAAGACACAGTTGGAGAAGCTCTCCTTCTCACATATTTAAAAGCATACATAAATGCGTACATACAGTACGTTTTAAGTTGAGCAGATGTAATCTAGTTGCATGATATTAATAATAATTATATTCATTATTGGCTAATTTGTTTTTCAATTAAATGTCATGATCAGTGTTTTCCTATTTTTCTCTTCCACAATTCACAATAGTGCCTCAGATATACAGTGTGATTGTTGGCATGGCAACTCTTTTGATCAAATGAGGTCACATAATTGCCCAATTTTAATGTTAATTGCTTGCTTAGTGTTGGTGATAATTGCATTACATATTCCTTTTGAGGTAATACCAAGTGGAGCCATAGTTTAAAACTAATGTTTATTTTAATAGCTGGTTAATAAGATACTCACATAAACCATATTGTGTTTCAAAAGCATACTTCATACCAAATGAGGGGAAGCATCCCAGGCCTTGTGATTAAGATGGGCCATTATGGTCTTCTATGGTTTAGTAGTACTTCCCAGTGGTTTTGAACTAGTTTTGCTTCGAGATTAAGATTTTAAAAGCAAAAGGTTTAGCTCACAACATAATTGAACTTTCAAGGTAACTGATGTGACCTTTTAATGCAAAGTTCTTGTCAATACTGTATGGTACTTATGAACCACATATAATAATAGGTCTAATATGTGTTTTACTTTGAAGTATGTCTGCCTCTCCATTGGTTTAGATTTTTATTTATTCGGAGAAGATGAGCATAAGTACTTACATTTGTCATGTGGAGAAATACAGAGGACGGCAAATTAGATATTGATCCATCTCTTGCGTATTCTTCAGCATGTATAGTGAGAGAGGGATCTTAATATATTTCTACTCTTCTCCACATGTGATGTGAGCACTAGACGTCTAAACTCAATCTAGCCACTAAGGTCTAGTTTCAAATAGTAGATTCATGTTTTCAAATAAATGTTCTTTAAAGCTCTTTAAAGGTAATTTGGTGACATCGGTATTGTAGACTTTTAAGGGAGGTCAGTGTGGCTACGCTGGAGTTTGTGCTTTTTCGAGGACCTCAGACTGTGGAATTAAATGTCTGTTTGTTAATTAAACATGCTATTCTAACAAAATAGGGCACTGCTTTACAATAACATGCATTACAATAATGTGATGGCTCTTGATAAATGCTCTTTATATAATGGTCTTCCCATTTGCCATTTAATGGACAGATGGGCAACTTTTACCAAAACACATTACTATGTCTGACTCAACTGGACTGCATTATGTTACATTAGAGCATGGTGCTAGCAACACCAAGGTCATTGGCCCAATTACTAGGAAATGGATGGAGTGATGCAATGTTTACGTTTAATGCAAATAAATATCAGCAAATTGTATAAATGTAGTCAATGGTTTCCACTATTGTCTGTACTCAAAATACCTTAAAGGTTTTTAATGACACACGGGTGTGTACATTACCTTTCAAAAGAAGAAGTTAATACTTTCATTTAGCAAGGATTCATTAAATTGACAACTGAAATTGTCGGATAACTGAAATATTTCTATTTCTATTTCAGTAAATATTTCTAAATGCTGTTCTTTTGAACTTTTTATTTATCGAGGAGTCTTAAAAATGCATCTTGTTTCCCACAAAAAATATTAAGGTGAACGACCATTTATAGAAATATGAAATGTTTCTTGAGCAGCAAATCAGCCTATTAGAATGATTTCTGAAGGATCATGTGACACTGAAGACTGGAGTAATATTACAATTATTTTAAATTGTTATAATATTACTGTTTTTTTTTACTGCATTTATCAAAAATACATTAAGAAGTAAGATTATACTTAATAATCTTACCAGGCCTAAACTGTGAATTATGATATCATATCTTATAAACATTTGACAAGAAAAATGAAATAAATGGTATGAGACAGTAACATATTCATCCAGTTTCACCCAAAAGCAAAACTATTCCAATGAAATTTGTGAGTTTAGGCGGCGTTCATTTTATCTCTAGTATCTTTAGCTCATTGATCCAAAAAGATAACCTGCTATGTGCAATCACAGTAATAGCCCTTTCAAGGGGTTCCCTGAAAAGCTTTGATCTAACTGACGCACTTGTCAGGTTGGCAATAAACAGCTCTACCACCTCCGTTATCAGCCTTCAAATTGATTCTGACGTGCATTTGATGTTCTTCCTCAGACTATATAATTAAGTGATTGTCTTAGGTAATGAAGGCATTAAGTAATGTACACCTGCAATAAAGTCTGTGTGTGGTGGGTAGTGAAGTGTAGTATGGTTATCACACCCAGGCTGTAATTACACCACTAATGGGCTGTTCCCGGAGGCAGTGCCCGCTCAGGGTCGTGCAGTCTCCTCTGCGTCCCGAGCAGCCCGCTATTAAACCTGTGCAATTCAGAGGAAGACATACGGTCCTTAATCCATACTTAATCCATTATCCTGCTAGGAAATGATATGTGTCAAATCAGAAATTGCAGGCCATCTCGTGAAAACTCAAATTACACCTATTGACGTTTGGGTTTTTCATTTGCGTCGAGTGAATTTGAGAACAGCACCCATAAACGCAATATAAGCTAATTGGAAAAGCATGCATCTCTACTTACATTTTTGCAAACTAACAAAAACATACTTATACAGTACATACAATCCACTGCTGTTTCCAGCTGAAATTAATATTAGTGGAAAACTTGTTTTTCCTTTTCACACAAAATTAAAGGGGCAGATTATTGATTAATAAAGAATTATTTTTGTGTGGTTCCTTGCACCAAATGTTTGACCTCAAAACACTTTTATCGATACTGATTCCAATACCAATTTTGCTTATCGATTCCGATTCTTATCAATTTCCAGTTTCAATTTCGACAAGCTAAAGAAATTTATAAAAAATAAAAAAACATTTAGATATCAAACACATATTCTGTCTTTTTGCAAAACTTTCTGTTGCAGCTAAACACCATGAACAAAATCAACAGCCTACAGAACACTACAGAACACAAATTACCAAAGCAAAATATAAATTTCAAACATTATTATTAAGAAGTATACAGTCAGTAATACAATAAGAAAATTTAAAAGAAAAGATTAATACAACTGAACAAAGTTCAGATACAGAAATTGAAATCAAATGTAATCAAATGTAAATAAGCAAGGCGAAGGCTTTCTTTTTATAAATACAAATTTGATTAATCCTCATTAAAGTTACAAAAGTCATTCACTCAAGATCAGTGAGTGATTTTCTTTTGTTTTATGATTAGCATTAATGACACAGCACGTTTATTAGGCTGCTGTCATTTTAAGACTGCGTGGATGCAGATCTTTTGACATCATTTTGTGTGTATTTGCCCGTTTAAGCACAAAAAGATGCAAACGAGAACTCAATTCAGTATTTGAGTACTATATGAGAGGCGGCTTTTTGTGTGCATGTTTTGGATTTTTATGCAGCATGAAAACAGTGCACGAGTGCTGAATTGAGTTCTCTTTCGCATCTTCTTGCACTTCAATGTTCACATTAAAATGTGCACACAGGAATTAAACAGTGGAATTTAAATGTGTATCTTATTGAATCATGAACATGTGGAAACGGTTCTAAAACGGAACCAGTTCTTGATACCCAACCGCATTTACCATAGTGCATAATTTGTAAACTGATACACATTTCAACATATGCATCACATATGTCAAATTCATATGTAAGGTTTAAATTTTTTTAGGCTTTAAAATCTTACCAATCCTAAATCTTTAAACTGTAGTATATGTGGACTTTCTTTCAGAAAAATAAACTTGCTCAGTAGCTCACCTGGTAGTGCACTTGCTATGCGGAAAGCTCAGATTCGAGTCATGTGAAATCACAACAGTCACAACACTTGATAAACAAGCACAAAAACTTGAAGCTAAAGCTGAAATGGCATGGTTGCTTCAGCAAATGTGTTTCCGTTTCACATTTGCTTTTGTTAATAATATTGGTTCGGTTCAAGGTAGGGTTTAGTGTAAGTTATTTTCAATCGCGATAGAACATTTACCTTTTAGCGCCACTCATCGGACATTACATTTCCAAACTTCCATGATGCATACAACAATCAACATACTAAAAAGTTGCCAGATTCACATTCATCTGAAAAATGCCACTCACCGCGCATTTCACTTGTGCAAGACGCAACACAATCATTTTGCAGAATGTCACAACAGCCACTTTTTCCAATGAGCCTGGATGCATAAATGCCTGAACGGTGTGGGTTTGAACATCCCTGCACTACATAATTCCACTCTTATCAACATGAAAAAGCTTTTCAGAGAAAACAAATGTGAAACGTGACTAACAACTAGTTATTTTGTTCATTGTCATCAGCGCCAAGAGCTTCACCACTGCTCCATC